CCCCCCCCCCCCCAAAAAAAAGAGAAAATAAAGTAAAAAGAAAAGGACAGGCCAATATCCCTTATGTATAGATAGATGCAAAAATCCTCAACAAAATTTTAGCAATCTAACTTTGCACCTTAAGGGAGAGGAAAAACAATAACAAGTTAAATTCATCAATATATTAAAAGGCTCATACACCATGATCAAATGGGATTTATTCCAGGGATGCAACATTGGTTCCACATCCACAAATCAATCAGTGTGATGCATCACATTAAAATGAAGCATAGCAATGATATGTTCACCGTAGGTGATTTGATGAACAAAATTCATTTGAGCCGAGACCGGTTTGGCTCAATGGATAGAGCGTCGGCTTGGGGACTGAAGGGTCCCTGGTTCGATTCTGGTCAAGGGCATGTACCTTAGTTGCGGGCATATCCCCAGTAGGGGGTGTGCAAGAGGCAGCTGATCGATGACTCTCTCTCATCGATGTTTCTAACTCTCTATCTCTCTCCCTTCCTCTCTGTAAAAAATCAATAAAATATATTTAAAAATAAATAAATAAATAAAAAATAAAATTCCTCTTAAAAAAAAAAACAAAAAAAATTCATTTGACAAAATTAAACATACTATACATTTATAATAAAAACTCAGCAAAGTGAGCACAGAGGAAACGTACCTCAGTATAATAAAGACCATACCTGGTATATGACAAGCCCATGGCTAACATTATAGTCAGTGAAATGTTGAAAGCTTTTCCTCTAAGATCAGGAATAAGACAAGGATGCCCATTCTCACCACTGTTATTCAACAGTCTTGAAAGTCCTAGCCAGAGCAAAAGGTACATGGAAAAGAAATAAAAGACATCCAGATAAGCAAGGAAGAAATAAAACATTTGCTATTTTCAGATGAGATGATCATATATATATAGAAAACCCTAAAAATTCCACAAAAGATTATTAGAAATTATAATGAACTCAGTAGAGTTGCAGAATTCAAAATCAATATTCAAAAATCTGTTGCTTTTCTATACACTAATAAAGTATTTTCAAATAGAGAAATTAAGGTCTTGGCAGGTATGGCTCAGTTGGTTGGACATCTGCTGCACTGAAAGATTGCCAGGCATGTGCCTGGGTTGCAGGCTCCATCCTGGTAGGGGGTTTGCAGGAGGCAGCCAATCCATGTTGTGCTCTCACATTGATGTTTCTCTTTCTCCCTCTCCCTTCCTCTCTCTAAAGAATTCTCTTTCCAGCTTCTCTAACATTCTTTTGCTAAGTCTCAAAAATTGGAGAGAAAGGGGTAAACTCTTAACTCAACATGTAAAATAGGACATGAGCTAATGAGATAAATCTTGTATATAGTGAATGGGAGAAGAAGGATATATGAAACAAAGGAGGTTGAAAAAAACTCACCGTTAGGCTACGTGACATTATTATTGAGTACAGATAAATTTAATTAAACATTTAGGATACCAATTATTACAGTATTTATTTTCTGAAGGAAAGACTTAGTGGCTTAAATCAACATTTATTATCTTTAGTTTTTGTAGGTCAGAAATCTGGGTGAGACTTAGCGGAGTCCTCTGGTTCATTTTCACTTGGAAGGTTGCAGTGATCTGGGGAGGATCTGCTCCCATATTCCCTCGTGTGGTTATTAGTAGGAATCAGGTGCTCCTGGGTTGTTGGGCTGAGGGCCTCAGTTCCTTGCTGGCTATTGGCTGGACACTTTCCTTAGTTCCTTGCTGTGTAGGCCTCTCCATGAGCCACTCACAGCAGGCAGCTTGCTTCCCTCTGAGCAAGCAAGGAAGAGAGGAAGACAACAAGCAAGTCAGCAGTGTAACTGCACAGAAACCTTATTTTCTTTAATGTGACCTTTTATTTTGACTCAAACTGGCCTCATCTAGTTCCCTGACTCATCAACTCCCTCTCCCTTGCTGAGTCATTAAGCCCTCAGGACAAGGAGGTTCTGGTCAGCATCCAGTAGTTGACCACAGAGAAAGAGATCCAGTCAGATCAGAGGTAACACCTAACCCTCAGTTGTGTTTCAGCTCCAGATTGACCCCACTGACCGCATCCTTTTTTTTTTTTTTTTTTTTAACTTATTGTCTAAAGTTTTACGTATGTCTCCTTTCTCCCCCAATTGATCCCAAACCCCAACCATTCCCATCCCAGGCAAGCGCCCACCGCCCTAGTCCAACCACATCCTTATGAAACCAGACAAAGCAACCTGATATCAAGACCAGATGCAGTGATCAGCTACTCCCTACTCTAGTACTGACCTATCAGTGAAGACCACAACTCTGACCCCTAACTCCCTTAGTCACTGGGATTAATTATTTTCCCCCTATGTAATCCATCTTCTCGAGGCCATTCCAGAGCCAGGTCTTTGGGCATGAGCTACCTGTGACTCCCGCACGCTGCCATCTTTTAATAAACCCTTACTTTCTTGATTACAAACTCCTGTTTGTGTCTTTTTGGGCTTTGATGCACCCAGGCAAATAGTTCCCTTTATTTTAGTAACAGGAGCCAGAATTTTTTTTGACAACCCATCATTTCTTCCATATTCTGTCTGGTAGAGAAGGAAGAACCCCAGGTTCAGCCCACACTTAAGGTGAGTATTTACAGGGCACACACACCAGGGGGCAGGTGCTGTCTTAGAAGCTGCCTACCATGTAGAGCCTAACCAGGGACCAACTTGTAAAATCAGAAATGTTTGGCAGAAAGGAGGGTGTACATTTTCTTACCTCACCAGCACGTATTTGGTGTTTTTTTTTAATTAAATTTATTGGGGTGACATGGTCAACATGAACATATAGTTTCAGGTGTGGGTTTCCTTGTTATAAGATCTGTATATTGCATTGTGTGCCCACCACCCAACATTTGTATTGTGCTATGCTACAAAAAAAAAAAAAAAAAAAAAAAAAAAAGGAAAAGGTCTTTAAAAATTGAAAAGATAATCTATGAACAGGATATGATGAAGAAGAGAAAATATTGTAAAATAAAACCAAGGACAAAGAAAAGAATGAACAAGGAAGGTGCATGACCATAGAGTAGAATTTCCATTTAAGCATTAAAGTATTCTCAAAAGATCCAGGAGGTAGGAGGAAACAAATGAAATAGTTGCCATGATAGATGGCTTCTTAAACACAACAGTTCTAATATATTTGACTGACCCATCTACCAAATAATACTTGCTAAGGGGACAAAGTAGTACCTAATACCTGGCTGTGCCATTTAAGGAACTTCTAGACAATTGACCAAAACTCCTTTATATTTCAAATGAGCAAACTGTATATTCAAGAACGTTATTTTCTTAAAAGGAGGAGTCTAAGTGGGGGAAGAAAAATAACAGCCTTAGGGTAAATACTTTAGAAAAGGGTTTTTTCCAATTTCGGTAGGACCTGTGGTCTGGCTTCAGCCTGTCTCTCAGGTCTCCTCTCCTGTCACTCACTGCTGGGCACATACCGCTTCAGCCACACTGGCCTCCAGGTCAGCAGAACACCAGCCCCTCCCCAAACCTCATTTCATCAGTTCCCAGTTCAAATGGACTTCCTTGACCGCTATCCATAATAGCAGAGACAATGGCCCTTCCTCTTACCTTGTTTTTATTTTTCTTCATGGTAGTTACCACTTTCTGAAATTATGCCTTTTCTTTTTTTTGTTTTTAAATCATCACCCGAGGATATTTTTTTCACACTATTTTTTTTTTTTTTTTTTTTTTTTTTTTTTTTTTTATGATAGGAGAGAATCATTGAGTTGGCTCCCTCCTGTATACCTCCTACTGTGGATAGAGCCTGCAGCCCAGGCATGCATCCTGACCGGATGGGGAATCAAACCGTGACATCCTGGTTCACAGGTAGATACTCAATCATTAGAGTGTAGGGGCTGGAATAGGAAAGGATGGGGGGGGGGGGAGAGGGAGAGAGAGAGAGAGAGAGAGAGAGAGAGAGAGAGAGAGAGAGAGAGAGAGAGAGAGAGAGAGAAACAGAAACATCGAGGTGAGATAGACCCATTGATTGGTTGCCTCCCACAAAGGCAGGACCAGGGTAGGGCGAAAATGTGAAGAATAAGCAGTGACAATTTGGTAGAAGTGTGCTAATAGGAACTCATGTGTAAATGGAGAATATTTATACTTATGTATAATACATGATTCATTTAAAAAAAAAATCCTGAAAGACTCAAAAGAGCGAATCTACTTGAAAATCTTCCGGCAGAGCAACTCCCTTTTGCTCTAGGTGCGCTGTGCTAACTTTTTGTGGAGTATTCCCCGGGAGCCTGAGCTCATCCTCCTCCTTTTATAAAAAGGTATTCTTGTCGCTATTCGATTGGCTGTCCCTCCGAGAAACCTTATTTTCATTGGCCCTGACACGGGCCATCACCGACGCAAGCACCCCCTCCATTGGCTCGCTCCGCTGACAGCTGCGGCGGCCTGCCTTCCGGCTGGAGGAGGTTCCCCGATGACGTCAATGGGCCCGCCCCGCCCACATTCCACAGCCTGGGCCTGGCTGCCTGCGGCCCCAGCCTTTGGGGGCGGGACGGGTGGAGAGAAAGACTTCTGATTGGGTAGGTAAGGCGAGAAGCGTATCCTATTGGTCACTGCCCCGGAGGGAGGTGGGGTCGTGGGCGGGTCCCGGACTGGAGCTGGGGAGCTGTGGGGACACTGAAAGTTTGTGTCTGGGGCAGCGGTGGGTCGTGGGCTTGTCCAGGAGGGGCTTTTCTCGCGCGGAGAGCCGTTCTCCGCCCTTCACTTTGGATGTACTCCCAGCTTCCACCCCTGCAGCCTCCGGCCTGATCCCTCGATCGCCTGTCCCCCCCGGGGTGTGCACATCTCCGGGCGCACGGGACGGGGACGGGAGCCCCGGGCGGTCCTCTCGGGCCGGGGAGCGGACGTCCCCTTCCTCAGTGCACAAGCCACACGCACACACGCCACCCGCGCCCGCGCGCGGAGCCGGACTGCCCTCCGCGGCGCCCCAGCCAGCTCCCCCCTGCGCTCAGCATCCCCGCCCGGCGCGGACCGCCATGGAGGTGCTGGAGAGCGGGGAGCAGAGCGCCCTGCAGTGGGACCGCAAGCTGAGCGAGCTGTCAGAGCCGGGGGACCCCGAGGCTCTCACGTACCCCACGGTGAGGACGCGGCCGGCGGGGCGGGGAGGGCGGCCGCGGAGGGGGAGTGCTGTCATCCGAGCAACAGCTGGGGACAGGGCCCTGGGAGGGACAGATTTGGGAAGAGGCTTGCCCAGAATGAAGAGATCTGGGGAGAGGCGTGGTTTTATTTTTTTTTTTATTATTACTTTTTAATTTTTTTTTTTTAAATCTGAACAGATAAAGGTGGTGGGCAGCTGACCCTTTTAAACTTTTCATAGTAGTGATGACACTGTTGCTTTAGCAATTTGTACCACTCCCCCAGGCCTTTTCACATCTGTCCCATCATTTCCTATTGCCATCGGTATTGGAAAGCGGGAGAAGGGTAAGGCGTTTTTTGAGGATAATGCACCTCTGTTCCAGTTAGATTTTTGTGGGAAGGTTTTTTTAAAATCTAGACAAAATAAAGTAGTGTTTTCTTCCCTTCAGTGTCATATTCTCTCTTTTCCTTTACTTATTAATATTTCAACAAGTACACGTGTGTGCATGTGTGTGCGTGTGTGTGTGTGTGTGTGTGTGTGTGTGTGTGTTGGAAAGGCCCTTGGCATTAGGAGGAAGATTGCTTTATTTGGCTCCTGTAGCTGGACAGCCAAGAACTCTGCTTCCTCCCTCTTCAGAGGAAAGATCAGGAGTGTGGAAAGTCTGAGGCAGTGGCTTATTTCAGAAAGTCTTTGGAGAAAAGGTGGGACAACACACCAGTTCCTGCCTCAGAGACCCCTCTGGGGGTTAAGCTGTCACAGAACAAAGACATTCTTTGAAAGTTTTCAAGTTTTTGGTATTAAATTTGAAAAATGAAATTTTGTTTTTAGCAGCCAACACTGGGACTTTTTGTGAGATCTTTGTTACAACACAGAAGGTTGTAATAGAAAGGGGAAGAGGGAGAAGAAGAGGGAGAGGGAGAGGGTAAGGGAGGGGGAGAGGAAGGGAGGGAGGGAGAGAGAGAGAGAGAGAGAGAGAGAGAGATAAAGGGAGAAAAAACAACACAGAAAATGAGAGGCTTGGTTATTTCCCCTTCATGATTCTTTTATTGGGGTCAGTGCCAGGATATTTGAAACTTTTGCAAAATGGCCTGTAGGCTCCACCTCTTTGGCCTTTGCCTCTGCCTGACATTATCTTGGGAAAAGGGAGGAGGACTCCCTATGATTCCCACCAAAGCCTTAGTGGTGGCTGAGAACGACTTGTTTAAAAAATGCAGAGTGCAGGGCTGGGAAGGAAGGATAGCTCACAGGCCAGATGTGCAGTGTGGCCTGCCAGACTGCTCCCCCAGCCTGTCCCTAGGAGACGGCGTGGGCCGCATTTGGATTGGGGGCCCAGATGTGCTTCCTGTTATCAGTACAGAACTTGGAGCACATTAGCCCTCCAAAATCTCCCGATAATTGGATGTTCCAGATGTTATCCTGACATGGGCTGCATTTTAACCATTTGTATGGCTGCTCTTCTCTTTTGCTCTTAAACCTCATCCAGCAGCTATACTGCCACAGTGTCGAGGTTGCCTTGAGCTGGTGGGATGAGTTCTGCACAGGCCTCCATATTTCCTTTCTTGGGCCCCGTGGCTTGCAGTTGTGAGATCACAGGCCAGGTTTTGAGATGCTCCCCGTGGCTGTAGCATTCACTCCTGGCGGGGGCAGCAGAGCTTACACTGGCTCTAGCATCTTCATGCACCATTTCCGGGACAGAGGCCCTTACCTTCCTTTTGGTGTTAAGGGCTCCGTTTTCCTATTCATTGTTATGAAGCAGTGATGTGTGATTATTTTTCTTCTGATTTCATTTTTTAAATGACTGGATGTCCACCACTTAAGGACACATCTCTCCTCTGGGGAGCTCACTCCTATAAAAGTTGAAGGCAGGCAGACTTCAAGACTTTGGCAACATACCATGTATATGAATTAGTGTTGAAAGAGGTGTTGGATTTACTAGCACAGAGGACTGGATTATATTCCTTCTAACCTAAGGGGACTTGGGCAGAGATTTGAAAAGAGATAACTCCCCATCTGTTTCTTGAACTCCGTTGGGTATTCAGTTGCAGAGCTGGTTATTACGGCCATTTGTCTATGATGTGGAATGGACTCACCTCCGGGTAGAAAAAGGATGGCCTGATTATGCATTCATTCACAGGTTTACTTGTGTTTTTTTTTTTTTTTTTTTTTTAAATTAACAGTTACTGAATGTCTTCTGCATGCCGACACTGTTCTAAACAGGTTTGATACAACAGTGAATAAAAGGAGGCAAAAAATTACTCTTCTTGAGAAGTTTACATTCCAGTGTATGTGTGTGTGTGTGTGTGTGTGTGTGTGTGTGTAGGGGAAGATAAACAAGTGACAGACATAATAAGTAAGTGAAATAGCATGTTAGGCCATAAACGTGCTATGGAAAAAGTAAAAGTAGAACAAGGTGAGGGAGATGGAGGAAGGGAAAAATAGGACATTGCATTGAGCAATCAGAATAAGTGTCAGATACAAGGGGATCTGAACAAAAGCCTGAAGGAGGGAGAAAGTTATTTCAGTAGGATGAAAAGTAGAGCAGGGGCCCTAAGGTGGGAGTGCACCTGGTGTGAGCTTATGGTAACATCATTTCCTATTTTAGATTTTCCCCCCTCCTCCATTTTGGTCAATTATTTTCCCTGTTACATACAGGTAACTTCTGAGACACAGTGCCTGTGTTTGGAATGACCCAGTAAAACTCTTCAAGTTGAGGGGTTTGGGCATTATACGTATAGGGATAGGAGAGCCTGCAGGGAGGGTAAGACACAGATATAAATTAGGAAAGTGGCAAGATATGATAATGGCTACCAACTAGTGAGTATTTATTACCTGAAAGGGAGGGCTGGCTTCCTGAGCCTGCCGCCTGCACAGACCCACAGGCCCCTGCACTGGGTTTACACTCTGCCGTCACTATCTTGCAGTCCTTAATAGTTTCTGAATAACTTTCTATTTTGCACTGGGTCCCACAGATCATGAAGCTGGTTCGACTGAAAGGCATGTATGCAATGCTTTTCAAACATGATACCATTGAACCCTCTTAAATGACCCAGTCATTTTTGTTATTTTCATTTTACAATAAAGAAAACAGAGGCTTAGTGAGCTTAATCGACTTGGTGAAAGGTCCCACAGCTAATTATTGACAGACCAGAATTTCACTTCAAGTCTGCCTGCCTTAAAGCCCAGGTTCTCGCTTCCCATTGCATAGGAAGGAAGGGTCCAGAGTTAAGCAGGAAGAACAGAGTCAGGCTGGAGATGCTGAGCTCAAACGCTGCTAATGTTTAACTGAGGTCGTGGTGCCAGTCACCAAGCCTTCCTAGCGTGATTACTCCATTTGCTCTAAATGGGGATTTACTTACCACACGCATGATTGCTAATGCCCTATTTTAGCAAATCCGTGACCAATCTGATTTTAAAAACATAGAAGGTTTAAGTTGCCTGAGGCTGGGAGATCAAGGTCTCTCAGGCCTTCTGTGAGCCATCAGAAACAATGCTTTTCTCATCATTTCTTCATGGAGAAGACTTCTTGGTCCAGGAAGGACAAAGGCCCAAAGCCTACAAAACAATGAGCACGAATAGAGTGCAAATGGACTTGCTTGTTGGATTCTGAATTATCAGGGATTTGGCCTTCCTCTTAAAAGCTTAAAAAATAGTTACCTATACAGATGATGAAATATAGTACTTTTATGAACGTGTCTTGGGGGACCAGAGGTCAAGAGAGGGTGGGAGGGAGAAGGAGTTATGTACACTCTACCCCTTTGTACTGTTCAGATTTTTAATCCCTGAATGGATTTAAAAAAGGACAAATGACAATTTAAAGGCACTACATAAAACTGGACTGAGAGGCAATTTTAGCCTGAATTTCCTGAGGGCAGAGGGAGATCTGGTGTGGTATTTGCACTCAACACCACTCTTGTTGAGGGAGGTCGTGGATGAAGAATAGAGAAGCAGGAGTGCTTGGTGGACAGGAACCCTCAAGGTGGAGAGTTAACAGTGGGCTCGTATGATCAACTTCCTGATCTTGATAACTTTCTTATATCTAAATTTAATGATCTGGAAACAGGAATTTTGTCAATTTTTTTTTTAAAGTATGCAACAGGAACTACCAAGTCTTTGTAAAGATAATGACAAGTTCTGCTTATTTTAAGTGAAAAATTCCTATAAATCCAGTTCTTTGTAAAATGATTTAGTTGTTATACTGCTTAAATGTTGCATCCAATTGAATCTTAAAAGGAAATGACTGATCCCAGACAGTGCTAGGTGGGGGGTTAAGGGGATGGTCCGCCTCCCTGGTGTCCGGATGTGAAGGTCATCTGGTTTCCACATCTGCACTGATTGCCAGGATGGAGGTGGCTCACCTCACAGGCTGGTGGGTTCCCCTTCCTCTCCGCTGGTCCCGAGACGGATAGGGCTTCAGTGGAACACTGAAGCTTGTCATTTGTTGTTAGTCTCCTGTGTTGGCCCCTGGCTAGGTTCTGGGGGAAACCTGGGTCCTTGTGGCTTGAGAATATCCTCACTTCTTGTCACCTGACCTCCACAAACTGAATAGAGGTAACGATCTCCAGTAGGAGACAAAACTCTGAAATGTAATTTGTCTTCAAGGCCCTCCTTTTACCTTTTTTCAATCTTCATCTCTTCTGTGTTTCCTTTGTTTCTTGGACCCCAAGGGCTCACTGTAATAATGTTCTCTTTCCAACATTTCCTCTTCATTTTGCTCCCAGGAAAGATTTGATAAGTTTACACTATTTAACAATAATTACTTCAAATCAAAAGGCTGAATCTCTAAATGGAGAATTTAAGGCACTAGTCTGGTAACAGGGGAGAAATATTTGGGGAGTTGTTGACGAACCCTCACGATCCCTTTCCTATTCCATACTTGTGGCTGTTATCCATAAAGTAACCTTGCACATGTGTTGCTTATTTATCTATGTTATAAAGGATTTTTATTGGCTTGGTGAGAAACCTTTGACCTATTATATTATTGTCTCTGAAATTGTTCTTATG